GCCTCCACTTACCCTATACCCTGTCTGCAACTGAAAGGAACAGAGTACTGCGGTGTCAGGACACAAAGATGAAGCTCTGACCACCAGGAGCTCACAGTCTAGTGGGACACCATCCCTCACAACTGCAGCCCACAGAAAGTTACCGAACTCTGCCCACTTTGCCGCCCCTGACGCCCCACCTCACCAGGTAAGTAGAAAGCTGCTCCCTTCTCTACTTGCAGATGCAGAAGCAGAGACCTGGAAGATGAAATCACACAGCAGGGGATACCGCTGGAGCTCAGTCTCAAACCTCAGGCTTGTTCCTGCTCTTTCACATAGCCTAGGAAGCCTGGCTCCAGGAAAGGAGAGTGGCACTTCTGCCAGGGCAAGCGGGGACCCTCAAAGCCTGGACCTCTTTCCTGGACAATGCCTGCAAAGGATGGTGCATTCTAAGGGGTCAAGGATGGCCGACAAAACAGCACCAGCTACAGGACAGGAAGTAACAAGGGCTGGGACTTTAAGGGTAGATAGAATATGTGTGGGAGGATGTGAGGTACCCAATGGCCCTGGAGGCAGACAGAGTGACGAGATAAGGAAGGATCATTCACCCTGCAGCACCCTCGGACTAAAGAGGACAGTCTTCAAGCACCCTAGAGAGCCCAGCGGAGCAGATGATGGAACCGATTTGTGCCCATTTCTCTGGCCTTTCACCTTCCCATCACCACCGCCACCCCCACCCCACCCCCACATCAGGACAGGTACAGCGATAAGAACTCTGGCTGACTCCGGCTCTACTACTTGGCTTCTTAGGCCAGTTTCCTTCTCAGTCCAAAGCAAAGGGGAGGTGGACCTGTTTCTTCCAGGCCTAATGCCCTGAAGTTCTACAACCGGGAAATAAGTGACAATAAATGAAGCATAAGAAGCGAACACAAAGGCCCAGCAACCTAGAAGCCTTGTATGGAACTGAGCTCTCACTCTGGCCATATCATTCCCTCTTGTTAGCATAAAATTAAAACAAACCAATTCCAGGAATATTTTGGGCAGCACAGAGAAAACAAGCTGAGAAATGAAAACCACCCCCCAAGATAAACCTCAGGACAAGCAGGCATGCACGGGTGGGAGTGCATCACATGGTCAAAGTTGTTGCACCAGGTTCCAGCACAAGAATCTCTAAACACTGCAGCCAAGTGCCCCTGCCCTGTTCTCTGTTGCCAATGCCCAAACTTCCTTCCCCTCATCTTGGTGGCCTTCCCCCATCACTCCAGTCCCTGAATTTCTTGCTACCATTTATCCCTCTGAATTGAGTATAGCAAAGAATTTGGAATTTATGTGTTGTCCCTATTTTCTAATTACTTCATACCTATTAGATGCTTCCTTATATAGATTCAAAGTCTCTTGGGCATAAAACTTTGTTTTATAATCCTCCACAGAGCTAGTTGGAGAGCAGGTACCTAATTATATTTGTTGGCTGATTTACAGGTCATTCTATAGACACAGAGGACATTATGCAATATGTATAGTACTATGCAATATGTATATATTCCTTGTTTTATGCCCCCTTTTGTATTCATATAGTCATTTAATTTTTATAGACAGCTCCATGGTCAGAGGAGAAAACTGAAGCCAGCTCACAGAGGTTCGATACCAGGACAAGAACACCCAGCCTATAAATGAAAGGATGGAGTCAAACCCAAGAGTAACACCAGCTGTCCTGCTGCTGCCTCCTGCCAGGATCTGAATAAGAGCTGCTGGGTAATAGAAATTCTCAATCTCTGAGAACAAAATGAATCAACACATCCTCATCTATGAAGGCCTGAAATCGTTGATGGTTTGTCCCTAAAAGATTATAAGAAATACATTATAGGGTCCTGGAAAAAGAAATCAGATCTGAAACTCCACAGGCAGGAAGAAGCATCAAGAAGCAAATCTGAAAGAAAAGGAAATCCTCTCCTTATCCTCTTCTTTTGTCCCAAAGGGACTTCCTGTCCCCAGAGGGCTTAGCACTCGATACTCAAGGGGAGAGAATGGAAAAGAAGTACCAACTGTGGGGGATGGGGTGACACTGGGAAATTCGAGAAGCTGGACCTACACAAAAATTCTCAGAGCTCCTTAGTGGGGTGCCCATTGTGAGCATTCGCCCTCATACACCCAAGGACAGAGAATAGGAGAGCAGTGAAAAGAAAGTCATGTGAATATCTGGAAGTCCAGCTTCCGCCAGTCCCCAAACTTCAAACGTGGAGCAATTCTTGCTGGCCCTGCTCTGCCCCAGGCCGGATGGGCTGGCTGCCCCAGTTAATTTCAATAAGGGCTGCAAGCCCCGGTATCCTGAATCAAGGCAGAAAGGACGTGCCTGCTGATCTGCAAATGCTGAGGTTCAGCCGCCCTCGGTGTGTTCTGAGAGCTGTATTTGCTCATCCTGCTGGCTTCAAACTAACAGGGAAGTCTGCAGCCAACACTCAAGAAGGAAAAAAGGAAAAGTGGTCTGCAGAGCAGCAGACGACTCCGACAGGTGGAGGGGTTGGCTCACAGGGCAGGCTGCTGCCCACACTTCACCTCTCCACACTGTGGCACAAAGGCTGGGGAAGAAAAGGAATGGCTTGGTGCTTGTGGCTGTGACACTGCTCTGTCTGCACTCTGGATTATCCCACATGGTCTCTGGATTCCACGCCCCCATGACCCCCCAAAAGACCCACCAGAGTAATGTCCACATACAGGCTCACATTCTCTGCAGGGACCTTTCACTGGCCAGAGGATAATGACTCAACACTCAGGCTGAAAGAGGACAATATCTTCTGTGAGGAAGGGTTACTGGTCTCTAAATTTTGTCACATTTGCAGAAAGGGTAAGACACAAACCCTTTAAAGCGTGCAGTCTCCCAACCTGTGTATGTTGGCTTCAGTTGGGGTGGGGCAGCTGGTCTTGCAAGTGGCCTTTGTGAATATTTCCAGAATACCACAAACCTGGGACATTAGGCCCATGTCACTCATCTTATATTCTGAGGAACAAAAGTTAAAGGGTCATTTCCATAGAAAGCGAGTCCACAGGGACATTAGTACATTGACAGTCTAAACCTCCAAGGCTGGAAAAGACCTCCCCAGCCTCCCCAGGACGCCTCCCTAACCATGGGGACCCTGCAAGGTCTCCATCTCCTCTGCACCACCCAGACCAGTCACCTTCTCCCAACTCCTCCCCACCCACCTGGCAACCAGAGCCCCTGCCTGCAAGGACTGCACTGTCTCCTGTGATCCAGGCAGCAGGTGGGTCTCTTGGACCTCAGCGAGATCTGGCCTAGTCTACTCCATACCTGATCACAAAGATCTGGTTCCCAGGAGAACAGTCTCCTGCCAAAGGGCTCAGCAAACCTCACACAAAGCAAAACTACTCCAAGGCGCCAGCTGCCCTGCTCCTCAGCTGGTCGGTTACCACACTACCACACAAAAGAAACTGAACAAATTCTTCACCGTGGGGAGGTTCCCCCGGCTCATGACTATTGGTGTATGAAGACCAGTGTCCTTTCATACCACCAGTGACTGAGGGGACAGACCTGTTCATCCTGGTGAAAAGTTCCAGTGCATGTCCCCCAAAGTACCCACTACCTGACTCAGTATCCAGCATCCAACTACTCCCCACTCAGAACCATTTGCTCAGGCTCCTACCTGCCCTGACTCCAGATTCTAGGCCTACCCTGAGGCTGGGAGAGAAAGAGGCAATTCCACCCTAGGCACAGGAGGGTGGGCACATTCCACACTGGCCTGGAGCACTGTGGTGCACGGACCACACCCTCCGCAGTCCCTGCAGTTTGAGAGACACGCAGAGGCCAAGGCAGTGGACCACAGAAAAGAGAGACGAAGGAGGTCAAGAATTTATGAGAAAAGAAACAGCACAGCAGAAACAAAAGCGAGAGAAACAAAAATGAATCTGTTGGAACCCAAAGTGCCCTTTAGTATCCCAATAAAATTTCCAGAACCATCCACACTTCCCTCGGAGACTTACACTGTGGACACTTGATGCTGTAAAGTGTGTGTGGACGGGTCTCCCTAAAAGTCCTCTCAAGCCCCCATTTGGAAATAACTTTGGGACAAATTGTTCATTGTGACAAAAAGGATTACAGCAGGCCAGGGAAGAACACAGCCCCACTTGGAAGGAAGAAGCAGTTCTAGAACTGGAAAGGACAGCCGGGGTGGGTGGGGGGGAGGGGGGGCAGAGAGTGATGGCAAAAGCCAGTGCCCCGAGCCCTGGTATCTACCCACTGTCCAAGGGGACCATACCCCACCCCGCTCCCTGAATCACAATAACCACTTCCATCCCCATAGATCCCAGTGGAGCTGGGTCTTTCTTCCTCAGATCCGTGACACAGAAAGCACCAGCCCCCGCGCCCTCCACACCCCAACTTTGAAAAAAAGCCTGGAAAACCGGCTTCCCAATCGCACATCCTCGCACCCGCAACAGCACTCCTAGAGACTCAGACTTTTGTGTCTTGAAGGGTTTAGATCCCCAAACTCAAGGGAAGGGCTCTTCCTCAACCAACAAGGGCGTACGTCTCTTTGGAATTAGTTCACCCAAAAGTTTGCAAACGCAGTGGCCCGTAAACCGGGTCCTGGACACGGCATCCACCTTTAGCGAAGGAGGCAGAGCACCGCGCGAGCTTGGGCGAGGTGTACAGCCCCGCGCGAAGTGTCGCCTGGGTCGCCGCGTCCCCGCCCCTGGGCGACCTCCCCGCACCTCCCCGCGGTGCGCTGGGGCGCGGACTCCGCGTAGCGCTCCGAGTCCTCCTGCAGGGGGCGGAGGCTGGGAGTGGAGCCCGCGTCTCCTCCTCGGAATGACCGCATCCCTCAGCCAAAGCCACCCTTTTCGCAGGATTCCCGCAGGGGTAACCGCGTCGCTGACCCCAGCTTCTCACTTCCCCCGAGAAAACCCTGGCTGCCTGCACCACCAGGCTCGTCTCCCACGGGGCGCCCCGCACCCCGCCCCCCGGGACCCGCAGCGGCCGGGAGGACAAAGCGTGGGGCGCGCTCACTCACCGCGCGGCGGCAGCGGCCCGCTGGCCAGGCAGCGGCTGCAGCGAGGGCTCCGCGCTCGGGGGCTCGAACTGCGGGGCGGCGCCGGGAGCCGGCGGGCACGCGGGCGGGCGTGGAGGCCCCGCGAGCCGGGCAGGCGAGTGGCCGAGCGAGGCGCGGATGAGCGAGGAAGAGCGCGGCCGCGTTAGGGGTCCGGATTCCTACTGCCCGGGCAAGCCGCACGCGCTGATTTGCATGTCATTTGCATGGCGCTCCGGGAGTGGCCCCGCGCCCTCCTGCCACGCCCTCCGCGCTGGGCCGGCGAGTCTGGAGCCGGGGATCCCAGCGCGGCGCAGTCAGGGTTCTCGCCCGCGTGCGGCCCCAGGGAGCCAGCCGCGCGGATCTGAGATGCTGGGTCTGCATCTCCCGACCACCAAGCAGTACAGCCCGCGAGATCACCCTGGGAAAAGTGCAGTGGAAACCTTAACAGTAACTCCCTTTCTTTTGGATAACATCTATCAAAAACAATAACGGGCGGAGTAAGTCTCCCTCAAACGATACGGTTATGGTTTTCTGAGCAAAAGATCGTGAAAGACTTGCTCACTTTCAAAGTTAGAAATGTTACATGCAATTTTGTTCAGTGAATGAAAAAGTACAAAATTACATAAACAAGGTAACACAGACCTTTCAAATGCAGGCTCTGGACTGAAGACACCTACCTCTTACATCTTACCATAGCTGCAAAACTTTGGATAAGGTATTTAATGTCTCCGACGAGGTTTATCTCTAGGCTGGAAATCCTCTGAGTGCCTCATAGGAATGGGAAGGTAACTGCTTACAACAGTGCCTAGCATTCAATTACTTTTTTTCTCCTCTGTACTGACAACTGAACGCAAGGGTGTTCTACCACTGAGCTATATCCTCTGTTCTGGGTTGGGTTTTTTTGTTTTGTTTTTATTTTTGTTTTAGACAGAATCTCACTGAGTTACCCAGGAATGAATCAAATTTGCGATCTTCCTGCCTCAGTCCCCTTAAGTACTAGAATCATAGTCGTGGGCCAGCACTCCTGCTACCATTAAATCAAACGTGTAAGTACGATCTAAATCTACTTCATCAAGAGGGATCCAGGTCTTGGTGAGGCAAGAGGGAGGGAGGGGGAGGAGGATGTAGAAAGAGAAAAGACAGATTCCGGAAAGAATGGGACTTTTCACCCAACCCCTTGGCCAACCAGACCCATCTCTTTTTCTTTTTCTTGCTTAGGTTTTGTCATGGAAAAGGTCCTAGAGTACAATACCTGAGTTTTAGATCCAGCTCCAATAGCTAGTTTTGTGAATCTGTGAGACACTGGTGTCTCTGTCTCTTCCTGTCTCTCCCTCCTCCCTCTAGTCTTCTAATCTGTAAAGTGAAGACGTCAGCAGAACTATGGGGCAATAGTTTCAGAGCCAGAAGATTCACTATGGAATGCTTTCTCAAGCATCTTCCAACTCTACAGGCTCCTCTAACATATTTTCTTTGTGTTGTGTTGAGAATCTCTCTCGGGGATGTGGAGCATACCTACATTAAAACTGGGTTTTGTAGCGTTTCCTGCTTGCTCTAGGCATCTTAAGGCTTCTAACCCCAGGAGTGCAGGGAGGTGACTGGGGTGGGTGGAGTGGAGACCACGACCAGGACTCATGTCCCCTAGCCCTTCCTCATTCAAAGTAGCTCTGTTTTCCTCTATTTCATGTGTTGGGCTTGTGTGTAAGACTTTGTAGAACATTTAAATCTGCTGCTTTAAATAGTCTGGAAGAACAACAATAATTGTTTGTTTGTTTGGTCTTTGTGTGATAGGGTCTCGCGAGGCAGTTCGGGCTGGCCTTGAGCTCACTTTGTAGCCCAGGCTGGTCTCGAACTTGCAGTGATCATCCTGTCTCAGTCTCCCAAGTGCTGGGATTGCAGGCATGCGCCACCACACCTGCCTAATAATAGTTTAAATGAAAAAATCTGAATGCAAGTCATTTCCTCCTATTACTACTTCTAATCATCTATAGATATTTTGCTCCCTTCTCAAACCCCTTGCCACCCCCTGCCCAAACACGCTGTGAAGGTTTGTTCTAGAAAGATGGTGACCTAGGTGGGGAAGTGGCAAGGGAAAGCAGGAATGATGAATAGCACAGCAAAGCCCACACTTAGAGACAAAATGATCACATGTGAACCGTGCTGAAAGATCTACCTGTTGTATAGCACAAACAGGATATGTAACAAATAAGACCTCTGATTTACATACATTCGGTAAACTCATGAAAACCTGTAGCCTGTTGCTGTCACCTGCAAGAAGACCTTTCTTTGCAAACAGGGAAGTGGAGGATATGGGTAAGCGTATATGTCTACCTGGAATTCTTTTTGTGGAAGGAGTATAGAATAGGGCTAAGATCTTCTAAATCAACCATTTGGTTTGCACTGAAGCCTTGTCACTGATCAGTTCTGCGACCTCAGACAGTGACTTTAGCTCCTAGTGTTAATAGAGTGAGACACATGAGAGAAAACCCACCTACCTGATTGTTTTGAGAGTTGAATGAGAAGCTACATGGGATACATGAGCCATCATAATTGCCCAGTAAAGAGTGGCAGTTCTTCTCCTGACTATCAATTAGTCATGCCATGCCATACTCAATACTGCAGCCCCCTGTGGGTACAGTTGTTTTTATTTTTCTGTGGTTCCTCATTCTTGGTAACCTCTACTGATGTGCTCTTTATTCAGAGCCAGGCTGGAGTGACTATGAGCTGAGACCCAGGGCTGCAGGTCAAGGTGGACTGGATGGGAGGTGCAGCAGAGGAGGTACCAACCCAGGACACCCACACGTGAGTAGGGTGGACAGCATAGATGCTCTACACTTGGTAAAGCCTGATGAGATGAGAAGGGAAGACGTGACTTTCAGCCCGCAGCACCTTGGATATCCCAATAAATTTTCATTAACTTTTTAACAATTCAGTTTTACAGTTGCTTATTGATTTCAGAACTTAACAGAGTAGAAGTATACACAGAAAGAACACACTAACTTCTCAGACTTTAAGACATGTTTGTTGTTTAATCAGTTTATCTTTCAGATTAAAAATGAAACAGAAGCTGAAGTGGGGTCCTGTTATGAAAGCTTTGCTCTCTTAGCTAAGTTGTCCTTGATAACTACTACGGGAATGTGAGATTATGAACTAAGCCTCAGGAGCTCTACCCTCGGCTCTATAACTTTCCCAGCCTTCTCATCCACTCATGTTGCTGCTTCTGCCACTGGTATTACACAGAGTTCCCCCCAGTTTTTCCCTTTTGGGCTTCAGAGCCCCACTCAGCTATTGGACTTCTTCACGTGGGATTCATGTTCAACAGTACCCTCTTCCCCTTGCCCCAGTAAACCTGCTCAACCTCCTGGCTTCCAAGTTAACAACACTGGCAGCCATCCAGCTGCCCAGGCCAGAAACTGGAGTTACCTGTGGGATTTCCTGCCTGCACAGATAGTAAATCCCTCTCCTCCCTCAGGTCCCACTACCACTAACTGCCCCTTAGGCTGTGCGGCAGGCTTACAGCTGGGCTTCTCCAATCCATAATCCATACTACTTATGGGGAAAACATGATTTTCCTTGACATACATCCCTTAATAGAATTCTCTATAAACATCCAGAGAAGACCCAATTCCTCACCTGTTTGGGGCTCTTCTTTAGCTATTCATCATAACCTCAACTCCAGCCTGAAGCTCTGAACGTGCCTTACTAGTCCAGGACTTACCAGCCTTTCCTGATCTCTCTTATCTGTGACACAGAGTGAACCCCAGTAGTCTGACTACCTCCTGCCCCGTCTCCAGAAGCATGTGCTTCATCCTCAGTAATCTACCAAGCCTTTGACCACAAGGATTGGGTCTGCCTTTTCTACATACCCTACAGCCAATAGAAAACTTTCCACAGTGTAAATAAACAAATGCATGTATTATATTGTTTATCTGTGGAAATAAATTCCAGGATTGAGGCTGTGAGTGCTACACCCACCCTAGGGCTGGTAGCCTGCATATACTATAAGGGACGGAAAGAGTCCTGTCTCTTTCCCTTGTTGCTTTTGCTATCTTGTGGGCTCCATGGGTTCTCCTCTGTGATGCCCCTCTGCCATGCCATCCTGCCTTGGAGCCAGCTCATCATGGACTGAAAACTCTACACACTGTGAGCCAAATAAACCTTTCTTCTTTTAAATTTGGGTGTCAGATATTTTGTCGCAGCAACAAAGAAAAAGTAACCCTAGACAAGTGTCAACTTAATTACCTAGAGAATGAGCATGGTGTTGCTTCTGGGCATGTCTGTGAGGATGTTTGCAAAGGAGACTGGCATGTGTGTTGGTGGACTGAGTGAGGAAGATTTGCCCTAAGTGTTGGAGGGCACTATCCAATCAGCTGGTGGCCTCACAGATCAGCAACAGCAAAAGGCACTGTAAAAGCAGTTTCCTATCTTTGCTCTGGAGCTGGGACACTCTTCTCTTGTCCTTAGAAATCAAGATTCTAGGCTTTCTGAGTCTTGGACTCTAGGACTTGCACTAGCAGCCCCTGAAGTTCCCAGGCCTTTGGCCTTAGACTGCAAACCACTCCATCGGCTTCCCTGGTTCTGAGGCATCAGACTTGGACTAAGCCATGGTACTGGCACTGGGGTCTCCAGCTTACACATGGGACTTCTCAGCCTCCGCAATTGTGTGAACCCATTCCCCTAATAAATCCCATCCTACATCTATTTCAGTATCCTATTAGTTCTATCTCTCTGGAGAACCCTAACTAATATCATTGCAAAACTAAAATGTAAAAAAAAAAAAATCTAACAATATCATAACAAAAAATGGAACATTTTTGTGGTGCCAATAAGATTTATTGATGGACACCCACCTGTCTCATATAGATGATCAAGATTTTGCACAGGGCTGGGGATATGGTTCAGCAGTACAAGCACCTGCCTGGCAAGCACAGGGTTCTGAGTTTGATTTCTGGTACCAAAAAAAAAGGACTTTGCATAAAGAATGGGAGCACAGCACAAAAATAACGGAATTTTTAAGAGAGAGAAAAAGAAGAAAAACTTCTCTTGAAGACTTTTAAATTTTTAAAAAATTTTATTTAGTTTATTAGTACATGTGTATAGTATATAATGTTTACATATCTTGTGGGAAGTTAGTACATGTACATAATATATTTTAATTCCTTTTTTCATTGCCTTTCCCTTCCCTCCCTTGGCCCTCCTCCCGTCTC